GCCCGATTTCTGCACAGCCAATTCAAAGCCAAATTGCAGCTATGACTGTGATTAATGCAATTTAGAGGGTTAAATTGATGGTCGGTTTGAAGTTGCGTGCAACATTTTGACGGCAAGCCACGCTGCCCCAAATGGCTCTGAGTTGCTTGATCGGGCGTTGGAATTCTGATTGATAGTTGAGAAAGAACTGGTGGTTTGCGGTACTCTGGTGATTCTCCTTGACAAGTGGTTTTGGTTTGGGACAGGTGTCAAGGGCGTTGATTGGTGGGAAGCAAGTGATGCTGAACACTCAAAGCAATTAAGTTCAATGATGGGCATGAGTATCCGGCTGTGATGGGGATGTGATAGGGCCATGATACGTATGATGCACGATAGTTAGCACGACTATAAATATCTTCCTTGCAGGTGATAGTCGTTCTCCCCCCAAAGGGCCCCTTGTTTGGGGCCCGCGCTGCTGGCGAAGAGGCTCTGAGCCAAGGCACACCAGGACACGATGAACCAGTGTCCGTGGAGAGTCTCAGCGGATCCTCGGCCGCCTTTCGCACAACGGGAAGCGTTTGACCGGCATCCGGGGCTTGGACGGGCGCTTGGATGGATGGAAGTTTGGTGGGGAGTTCAAGCACGGCTGTCAGTACCATGATGGCCACTGTTGGCCACGTCGCCAGGAGGTCGACCTAGGACCATCGGAGGCCTCAGCGACTCGAGGCGATTGGTGGCGTCGCTGCAGCTGCGCCTTGTAGAGGGCGCGTCGTACTTGTATTGGGGGTGAATTGGCGGATGCTGGAACCGAGATGCGCATGGCCAACCTGGTCAATGCGAAGGTCAACGGAGAGGCTTTGGAGGGCTGCGCGGGCGGGGCGCCTATTTGGAGCGGGGCGCCCATTGGGAGCGGGGCGCCTATTTGGAGCGGGGCGCCCATTGGGAGCGGGGCGCCTATTTGGAGCGGGGCGCCCATTGGGAGCGGGGCGCCGATTGGGAGCGGGGCGCCCATTGGGAGCGGGGCGCCGATTGGGAGCCGGGCGCTGGTTGGAGGCAAGGAGCACTGCCCCTGTGGCTGCGGGGGTCATATGGCATGGTGAGCGAGCGACGATGGACGCGATCGGCAGAGGCCAAGCGCAAAAGGACGCCCCGAAGGCTGTCCAAAGGGTAAAGTATGCCACAAGGCTGTCCAAACGGGCGCATCGTTTGTCGACCCGGTCAAGATGTGCAAGCGAGCAGCAAGTGGAGCACTGAACCGTCGCCACTTTCCTACTAACGCCCCTCGTGCCAGAGGGGCAGTGTCAGGCCCAGAGTTACGCGGTTGTTGGTTTGTCGCGCCACCGCGCGGGCACCCGAGGGGTTGGCACCGCGGGGCGCGCTCCTAGGCTCTGCGCGGCGGGCCAGAGAGGTGGATTGGCCAAAGTTCAGTTACAAGCAGGCAATACAATTCTTATATCAACAAAAGGTTGTTTGATTATTTCATTAGTTTGATGGGCCCATTTAATCTCCAAGGAGACAGTAGAATGCAAATCTTAATAACCTCGAGTATACTGAGAACACCCGAAATAATCTAGAGTGTCTCAATGTCCCCAAGGAGCTGAGAAAAAACACAACCAAGCCATTCCAACTTAAAGCTGCGCTTCCCAACTACCTATATACTACCCAACTACCGAAGCATTGGTGTTTGTGGGTATGGGTGTGAATTGGATAATTGTTCACACGGACTTGGAACACTGGGGAAAACGATTGGCAGCGGTTGTCTATTCTCGTATGGACGTGACTCACCAGCTCATTGAGCAGTCAGAGTCGAGGGTCATTTAAGAGCTGGTAATCAAAGCTTTTGGAACACAATCTTTTCGATTCTGACCTCTGTTGATACTTGGGAGACAGATTAGGTAACGAAAGTTGTCTTTAAAATAGAGAGCAGTTAATTCCAGACGGAGGAAGTGCCATATCATATTATTATACTATGTAAGTGCCATATCCATTACGTTGGTGGTAAAATGCGCAAAACCATGGGATACATTCCAGATGAGACTGACGTCTCTTGTGATTGCCACCGACGAGCCCACTCTATCAAGTTTTTGAGCCACATTGACTTGTCCCAGTCGGTGTTGGATTGGGCATAAGAACTGGAGTGGTGAACGTTGCTCCAGGCAGGAGCCGAGCAACGGTTTCATTGGTCTTTCTGCGCCACCACCGCCATCGGGTGCAGCTCAGCCGAGGTCCCAACAAACAGAGCATTGCTGGGCATTGGAGTGGCAGTAACTCTGTCTGCCTCTCAGGCGATCCCACATGTGGAATGGGGACACGAATCTCAGTTTGGTGCACCACAGAGCAGCAGCCATTGCGCGGGATATGGCTCATGAGTTGCTGCACCACAAGGCCCACATTGTGTGGAATGAACGTAGATCGCACTTTAGCGCACAACAAAGCATAATTTGCAGGCGGTGAACGTGGATCTAATTTGGATGCCACATAAAGCTCACACGAGCGTCTGAGTAATGCAACGGATGTTGTTCTCCCTGTTATGGTACGGCTGCCTTTCTTGTGCGAATGAGCAAGCAGAATGGAGACACCTTAGTTGCTCTTGGCCCAACCAGCGCCGATCTCCAGCTCTGCGTGTCAGATGCGCTTTTATCGGTTGAGTTCTCTTTGCCCACATTCTGTGCACAAATTACTCGCAAGTCCAGGGAGTCAGCATGGGGCTTGATATTTTACGTTCCTTGATGCACAATCCATAGGTTGAGGAAAACGAATAGAGCAATGCATGAAGCAATGTGTGCGAAGCAGCTAATGTACGAGGCTCGTCCAGATGCTTCTATGCGTGCCATGAAATGATGCACGCAGGCATCGCGTTGTCATGGAAGAAAATGATCCCGCTGCACGCTCCATGAGTAGTACCTCATCAAATGCAGAAAACAATGTTGAAACTCTTACAGCCGGTCTGGTTCTGTGCACATGATCAAAAATACAGCCCACAGTGGCGCCCCACGACAGGCATCGCAAAAACGTGAGTAAAAGAGCGGGGTGACGCTATCCGAGGGATGCCCCGTCGCAAAAAACCATGGCCACATCAAAAAACGCCTGGTTAATTCAAAACAATAGCCTCATGTCCTGCTGGATCCAGCACAGTCTCCGTGCGAGGCATTTCTACGTTCATGTCGTTCTCAGCTCAGTTCCGAGGCATGGCGTTTTGGACGCGCAGTCATGTTGGCGCGTATGAGGCAGCCAAGACCCCAAGCAAGTCCTTGTTCAAGTGACCAAGATGACGCTCTCAAACGGATTTGCTTCGACATAGTCCGTGCGGGGCAGCCCCTGATCACAGTGCAGCACTGGATTATCACACTGGCCTTTGCCGCACAGGCACTCGTATTGCACAGAGCCACTCTTTGGAGTCACGCACTTGCCCTTGTGCAAACCGACCTCGACATTGAAGCCAGACCAGCCACTCACTCTGCACACCGAGATGGGCAAGTGAGCCGTTGGAGAGCCTGGCTTGCGATCACCCCACCCTGGCAGGGCCACAGGATTCAGTCCGTGCGCAGCACAGACATCGCTGCAGGCCTGTCCATCGCTGTACGGCTGATACCAGTCGACCTCAAAGCCCGGTCTCTTGCACACGCAGGAGAAAACTGGCATTGTCCTCGTTGTGATATCGGATTTGTCCACCGGGTCCCATTCCACCGTGCACGTGCCGCCCTCATTTGTGCCGGCACGCAGCCCATCTTTCTCGCCCAAGTCGTTGAAGCACGAGAAGTGCTTTTCGGCGGCTGCCACAGCTTCTGTGAAAACCTGACTTTCCGCGCACACTGAATCGCAGGACTTTCCAGTGACTGCTTGGAGGAAGTCCCAGCCACAGCCTGCACACATAGTGGACTGGAATATCAGCAGCCTGCGTGCTGATAATGGAATGTGGCACAGGTCGTTTCAAGATTGCCTTGCTCCCAGGTGGCCAGGTGGCTCCTACGTCTTAAGTAATCTGACTTGTTGGTGAAGCAAAAGAAACAGTTCATTGTCTTACATGATGTAGTTCTGCTAAATGCTCCTATACGAGCACAGTAGGCATGCCCGTTTATTACTATACATATAAATGCAGGACAAATAATCGTTATCTTATCATCATATCAGCTTCAGATCATTGGAGCACCAGTCACACCCCTCACACAAAAAGGAGGACAGAATTTTTCATGCATCCTGAGCGCTGTCCACACCAACACATGGAAGGGCACGCACGCATGGGTGTAAAAGCCATGATGACAGCAATACAGATCATCCAACAAAAAAATGAAGGCAAAGCGAAAAGAAATGTACGCCCCAAGCTTCTGGACACAGCAATGCAGGCATGCAAGGAAAAGCACTGGCAACACACCGACGGTAAGCCTGCCAAAACACTAGGAAAAAAAGGGCCAAATAACACATTTCCGAACACAAATAAAACACATTTCATCATAGTTTTACACGCTAAGAACACGAAAATAACACAAACCCGTAAACTTTGTACACGTTTGAACACGTGTTATTTGGCCCTTTTCTCCTAGTGTAAGCAGCTTTCAAGCAAACATTTTTTGCACTGCCTGGTGCGACAGTCACAGCAGAATTCCTAATTCGGCACATGCGCTGCTTCGCATCTCCGTGCCCGGATCCCGCCAGGGCAGTCAAATCCTCACCTGGGATGGAGCCGTCCACAATGCAGTATCCGCAGTTCGACCTCGTCAATTCAGGAATGCACTCAGAGCACAGGCACTGGTTTTGCTGCCCGGCTGGATACACGCAGCCCACCAGCCCCTTCTCAGAGCACTCGCACGTCTTGCGGTCGTAGTCCAGCCAGTACCCCGTCTTGCACACCTCGCAGGTACCGCACTCGTCCTTGCTGTACCCGGCGCAGTGGTCGATGTGGCACGGCGCGCAGGGGCACTGCCCGTCCACCGGATCCGCCCCGTCCGCGCAGACCGAGCAAACGTGGCAAGCCAGTGGGCTGCACTCAGTGCACCCCTTCACGTCGCACGACGGGCACTCGCAGCTCTTCTTGTCGTCGCTGAGGACGAGGCCCTCCTTGCACTTCAGGCACGTGGAGCAGTCCTCCGGGTCGCACTTTTCACATCCCTGGATGTAGTCGCAGTGCTGGCACTCGCACACCTTTCCGTACTGTGAGGGATCCGGATACAGCGGGGGCTCGCACTCAACGCACACGGATTTGTCATAGTCGCTGCAAGTCACGCAGTGAGGGATGGTGCACTCATCGGGCGGCCACACGCACTCCTTGCCGTCCCCGCTTGGCACGTGGGGTTCTTCGCATGTTGTGCAGACGTAGATGTCCGTAGTGTCGCATTCAATGCAGTGTTCCACCTGACAGGACTCCACGGGGCATTGGTCGTAGCCGGGGGGGCCGTAGTACTCCTCGCAAGACTGGCAAACGCTGCAGTTGTTGGGGTTGCACTTGGTACAGTGCGGGATGTCGCACTTCTCGCACACGCAGTCGCCGCTGTACTCGTCGAGCACGTAGCCCTCGGAGCAGACGTCGCAGGAGCCGCAGTCGTCGGGGCTGCAGCTGTCGCAGTTGGGAGCGCCGCAACTGGCGCACGGGCACTGGCCGTCGTAATCCAGGTTGTGGTCGTCCGCGCACACGACACAGATGTTCGGGTCGTCGGGGCTGCACTTGATGCACCCCGGAACCTTGCAGACCTCCGTGGTGCAGACGCCGTCCACGTTCTTGAACTCCACGTCGCACTCTTTGCACTTGCCGCAGTCGCTCTCGTCGCAGACGGCGCAGTGCGGGGCCGTGCAGTTGGAGCACTCGCACGTGGGGGGCGCATCCGGGATGTAGGACGGCACCAGCGTGTACCCCGGGTTGCACACCCAGCAGGTGTCGCAGTCCCAGGGGTCGCACTCCTGGCAGTTTGGCACCGCGCACTCCTTGCACTTGCACTCCTGGTTGTAGTTCACAAGCTCGTACCCGTACTCGCACTCCCTGCAACTGCCGTCGTATTCACACGCTACGCAACGGTGGATGTCGCACTCTGCGCCCACGGACGTGCAGTCTGGCAGTTCCCCCACAGCGCAGACTGAGCACTCGTCGCACTTCTCCGGGTTGCATATCTCGCAGCCGCTCACGGCGCACTCGGGGCACTCGCAGGCCTTGCCGCCGTTGCCCAGGGTGAGGAAGGGGAAGCACGTCTTGCACTGCGCGGAGCGCACACAGTTTGGTCAGCTACATGACAATCATTAGGATAATCTTCAGTTGCCACATTTACGCGGTTAAATGGATAAATTTATCAAACTATCAAATTGCAATCTGTTATTATTGTCATTGCCACTACTAGGACATGCCACTGACATATTCATGTGTACTGCGAGCAACGCGGCAGCGGATGCGACCGCCGAGCAACGGAAAACCCTCGTCATTCACTCAAGCAGCCAGCTCGAGCATTGCCTGGCGCATTGCCAGAATAATAACTGCTGACGCTAGGTAGCTACGAGCAACCAAAGGCCAGACGACAGTGTGCAACCAAGCTCCTCTTTTCCACTCGGGCTCGCCAATACCGAACCAGTAATTGTGATGGCCGTATTATGACATGGGTCATTTACGACATGTGTCAACATGAATCGTGTACGGCTCCACGAACGGTTGAATGCGGCTGGATGCAGTCAGCGTCCACCACCAACAGCGCACAGCCACCACATCCAGGTGCAATAAGAGCTTAAGCGCGGTGTGTGGGAATCAACGTTTGACCACCGACAGCGCTGACGTCGTCCTCACCTTGTAGCAGTTGTCCGGCTCGCAGGTCTCGCAGTAAGGCACGTGGCAGGTCGCGCACTCGCACTTCCTGTCCGCCCCCAGCTTGAAACCGTGCTGGCAGACCAGGCACTTGGAGCAGTCCGTGGCGTCGCACTCCAGGCATCCAGTGATGTCACAGGACGGACAGGAACACGTCTTCCTGTCGTCCGATAGGACAGTGTCGTCGCAGCACCTCTTGCACTCGTCGCACTTAAGGGGGTCGCACTCTCCACATGCGTACACGGGGCATTTAGGGCACTCGCCATTTTTCAGCCAGGTGGTGTCGGGGTGGCATGGACAGTGGCCGGGAGACCCATGGTGGGCGCACGGGCACCCAAGCCTGTGAGATCAACGAGGGTTGGTAAGACACCATTTAGATAAAAGACACCAGCTTTAGCAAATGATGGGATTGAAGGTAGCACTGAGTGCAGCAGTAGTTGTCAGATGTCCTCGCAGAACTTTCGATAGTGCGAGTGTTACGAAGTGGGTGTGAATATGATGACGAACAGTTGTCGAACAACATATGTCACCTCGACCTATTTAGAGATGCCCATATTCCCCCTTTGTCAATCCAACACTTGCCCTTCGTGCAGCAGTTTTCGGGTCATCCTCGCCACATCCTCAGCGCCGTCTGCAAAGGATGTTCACAATGGCAGTCACATCACGAGTCGTCCCGAGAAAATCCATCATTTTACATGCATCACTAGTGCATTTTAACTAATTGGAACTCAGAGTGGGGGCAGGAGAAACGGCGAGTCGAGCGGCCTATGTTGCGCCCTTCTTGTTCTTCACGCTTTTACATCTTCCACAAAGATAATCGCATGATTGGCACCTCCATTTAGTGATTGAAGTTCCCGTTCCGAACAAGTTTTACCTGTATTACAGTGCGCCCCACGTAGGCAAAATCGTACATTTGTAGTATAGCCTGCATTTAAACGTGGCCTTTTCCTGTATATTCAAGGATGCTCTTGTGGGTACCGTTCCCCAGATAATCCGGCACTGCCGCACGACACGGCCTAGCAGATGAGGGGTCAGCCCTTGCAACTAGGGCCGCAATGGTCTGCATTGAATTTTCGGAGCAATTCACCCAACGGCAATTTCTGCTTCCAGCTGTCTTATCAAATATAGACAGTGCATCGATGGAATGAGAAATCAAATGCAATATCTTATTTCATGAAGCCGCAATGCAGAAATAAAACTTTCCATGCGAAATTTTAATGTGAAGCTCAGATCCCGCAGCAAGGAAGCTTGTCCCACAGGCGTATTTGGTTACGAAGGGCAACGTGGGGCTTGATTCTGAAGATTAAAGGTCTGACTCTGACGAGGGAGATCGGATGCGGATTTCCAAATTCTTTTGCCAGAGGTCAGGATTCTATGCATGTACGCGTCCTTTCAACTCACCCCCAGATTGCACAATGTCATCTGTGGCACTCGCAACGCACAATGCGCCCACGAGCAGAAGCGACAGATACGGAATGCGCACAGCAGACGAGGCCATGGCCCCACACCTGCGAGGCATGCGCAATTTTCAGTCCCAGCAAGCAACGCCCGTCAAAGTACTGAAACCCCAGGACGGCTGCTAATGGTCGAGTTACAGCAGGACATGCCTGCCAAACCGCAAGGTTGTTTGTAAGGGTGACGTAAAATCGAGAAAGCGCCTGGGGGCCACGAAATGGCCAAAGGCTCCAGGTGCAAATGCACGCGCATTGTCTGTTTACGCGGGCACATATGCACAGTAACAAAACATCAATATTTTTCCTGTTCTAAGGAGTGTCCACAATTCCTAGATCCGTGGCAATAGGACGACAGGAATGCATGCCACGTTGCACTAGCAAAAAAAGACCAAATAGCCCTTTTGCGAGCACGTGTATGTGCATTTTGTCAATGTTTTGCATGCTAAAAACAAGGAAATAACCCAACACCGTAGAATTTGTACACATTTGAAAGCACATGCTGTTTGGCTCTTTTTTCCTAGTGTTAAGCGAAGATGGCCTCCCTTGCCTAATTGCATCATGTGGCATCTTGCAAATACTGGGGCGCTGCTAGGTGACGCGGGTGATGCATCTGCGTTATCAAAGCTTTCGTCTTTGTAGCCGAGCCTGCAGATCATTGCCCGCTCGATGAAATAAGGCCGGAATTTCATTGCACCTCGTGAGTTTATAGGGCGTGTTCTACTCTATGACTGGAGGGCGGAAAGGAACGTTTGTTATAGAGGTTTTTGCTGTGTGCATCATTTCGGAGCGGAAACAATCTACAGAGGGCATCAAACACAACGTCGCTGGCGATATCCGGGACCTGTCGACCTACAATTGGGCAGCCACACTATTGATCCTTCCAAGCTAGGACCTGAAACGGAGCAGTGCTTCAGGGCGGCAGACTGAATCGTTAGCCGTTGCGCAGGCCATGCGCCAGGATATAAAACGAAATTGAACTGCAACGCCTCCAACCCCCCCAACCCACCCCGCCCGAAACACACTCCCCCAAATGAAGACAAAGTCCCAACGCACCAATCAGAAGCAACCGTTCGAATTAGAACACATGCTACAAAACAGCAGTCACGGGAAGCCCAAAGGCGCGAAAAGAGACGTCTACGACGCATTAACTTGCGTGGCAGACCACATTATAAGAGGTGGCTGCTCGCGGCGAACACGGATCTCGGCATCCAGCGCACCGCCAGCTCCGCGGAGCGTGGCGCCCAGACGCGCCAGCTGACACGGCAAAAGCGTCCTGAGGGGCCCGGCACTACATGACAGCCCGCCGGCACAATCGACACCCCGCCTTTCTGATGGGATATTCTGTTCCCGCGCACCCGCGCCCCGTGCCGTACTATCACACTCGCAGACTCTTCCGTCCGACATGGACCCCGATACGACAGGCGCCTTTTACGCGGGCGGGGGATCTCCAAGGCGCCATTGGCTGCGTTTGGAGGGGGATGAGGGGAGTGGGGTGGTTGAGGGCCGCGGGGGTGAACAGCGGGGAGGAAAATTTCAAACGGCGGGTGTGGTTGGGTTGGGGGGTGGGTGCAGGAAGGGGAAGGGGGGTGCGCGGGGAAGCGGCGGATTCCGACGGTTCGCAGACGCAGGGGTGAACACGTGCGCGTGCGCAATACCCAACCCCCCAATGCCAAGCATCACTGGGATGAATTGAAGCTGGAGGCCGCAAAGCGCGCCGGGGAGTCAGCCACGAATATCCATGCCTGCGTGATGTCCCACACGGGTGTGCATTTCCTTGCGAAGGCGGCTGGGGCCCATTGCCGGCGGCGGCGGCGCAATTGGGGCGGGGCATCCGCGCGTCGCGGGGGTCAACGCCCACGGAGGCAATCGATCTTTCTAGAACTCCGGCCCGGCTCGCTGAAGGCCCACCCTTTCGGCCACGATACATACGCTACAACGCCGGCTCGACTGCCCACCCGCCGCCGTGCCATACGGCCCAAATCAACGCCACGGGACGGGTTTCAGGGAAGGACGCCGTCGCCGAATCGGCCTATCCACCGGAATCAATTTAATCCACAGCTCGCGCAAACGGACCCGGTGCATTGGATCAGCCGCCATCGCCAATGCCCACGGCAGAGAAGCTGACGCGTCGCGGTGCAACCCGGGTTCCGTGCAGTCAAACCACCCCCCCTGCGGTCTACGACCAAACGGCGTGTCCCTGGGAGCGTCGAGGGGTTGGACCAGCAGTTCCGTACCTTCCGCCTCCGAGGCAGCGAGCAAGTCCTACACCCGGAGCGTGGGGGTTGAGGGGATGGCGTGTCGCTCCGCCCGAGCAAGGTTTATAGGGGGTTTGGAAAAGTGGGACGCGGCGGGACGCGGGACTGGCCGGGGCCCGATGGGGCTTACACATGGCCCGGGATACGGTCCGGCGCTGTGTCGGGCCGGAAGCCGGTGCCGGAAGCACCGCGCTGGCGCGTGGGCGCCACGCGGCGGACCGTCATGGCGGATTGAGGAGGTCTTTCGCGGTGGGTAGAATGTTGGGTCTGACGGTAGGAACCTGGGCGTCCGATTCCCCGGCCGATATTTCGAAAATTTGAGTTGTGCCCCACCGAGCCTCAGGGTGCGCTGGGGTTTGGGGTTTGCTGTGGATGACTGCTATATCACTGAATCTGCTGCATCATTGAAGCGTGACTGGGAGCAGAATATGGGGGGCCGTGCCGCGCAAGGGAGGTGAGCCAACCCATTGCAGATTCCGGCAGCAATGTGTTGAAGTGACACTAGCAGAAAACACCATTTGGGGATGCCGACTGCGATGCACATCTGACACCCAGTGTCGGCATAACAGTGATAGCGACGGCATAAAAGCAAGGGCGTTGGCACCAATTAATGTTGAATGGCGTCGCGGTTAGCATCGCAAACATGGTGTTTCTGTTGGCGCGAGCTGGTTCGATGCAGATGAAAATGGGAAGATACCGCCATCCTCTGTGCTGGCGAAGAAAAGGGCGCGTGTCGATTGGCGACAGCGGGCTGCACGCATGCATGCAATCGGCATGGTTCCTGACGAGTGCGCTCGAACAAGGACAGCCCACGCAGCCTCGTTCAGGCCAGCGGCAAGCGCAGGGTAAGAAACAACCAATCGAAAACACAGCCATTTCCGGGCAGATTTGTTTAGCATCATCTGCCTGAGCAGCTTGAATCAACTTTACCTATGTGTCCGTTCGTCTAATGTGTGCAACATCATTGACATTCTGATGACTGACGTAATGGCACTACACTCGATACGTATCGATACTGGTATACCAGTCACAATAATTTGGCACGGACGGCCGCTGAACGTCTCTAACGCTAGGAAAAAGAGGGCGAAATAGCATGTCTTCACACGTCTACAAAGTCTACAAATTATTATACAAGGGTTATTTCCGTGTTTTCAGCTGCAGAACACTGACGAAATGCATATACGTGTTCACAAAATAATATTATCTGGTCCTTTTCTTGCTGGTGTAACAAGCTGAAAAGCGCTCTCAACACTGCGTGGGAATGGTTTGATGGAGGCACCGACTGAACTGAATGCCTTGTGCAGTACAGGCAAGGCTGTGAATCTGGAATTTTCCCAAAATGGAAAATTGCAGCCGCCCAGCACGAAAACCTAGTGTGGACTTGATGAGAAGGTAACTGGACAGGGACAGGGTCATTTTCGTAGAGAAATGATAAATGAAGACGAAAGAAGGTGCAAAGAATGAAGGTGAGTGTTTCTGGTGGGCTTCCGTGAAAAAAGAAAGAAACGTTGAAAATGAAAATACATATCTTGTGCGTTTGTGCTTTTGTCATGATGCGCAGCATGAAGCCAGGAGGAAGCACAGTAAGGTGCTGATCCCGGGCTCGAAAAGCTTCCCATTTTCCAGCAAGTGAAGGGAGCTCAAGTTCCTGTGTTCATTTGTGACGCTTTCTGCTTGAATGGGATTTGGCCCCTTTCGGAATTGCGACACCCGCCTGCTCTTCATATTAAGATTGATTGTTTTCATTGTGAGCTGAACTGACGAGTGTGCAACTACCTCACAGCATCACGACTTCGAGAGACTCTTAGAATCTGGTTTTGGGGTCTGAAATACCTTTGAATGGGATCTTGTTTCGATGCTTATGCTGCAAAAAGTTGGAGTTTCTCAGAAACTCTAGTA